CAACGTGGTGAAACCCCGTCTCTACTAAAAATACAAAATTAGCCAGGCATGGTGGCACGCGCCTGTGGTCCCAGCTACTCGGGAGGCTGAGGCGGAAGAATCGCTTAAATCCAGGAGGCGGAGGTTGTAGCGAGCCGAGATTGCCCCACTGCACTCCAGGCAGGAGACAACATGCCACCTCAAAAAAAAAAAAAAAAAAAAAAAGAAGAAGAAGTAAAAGATCTCTACAATGAAAACTATACACTGATACAAGAAATTGAAGAGAACACAAATGAAATGAAAATATATCCCATATTCACAGATTAGAAGAATAAATATTTTTAAAATCTCCGTACTACCCAAAGCAATCTACGGATTCAATGCAATTTCTATCAAAACATCAATGACATTCTTCACAGAAATAGAAAAATCCTAAAATTTATATGAAACTACAAAAGACCCAGCATAGCCAAAGCTATCCTAAACAAAAAGAACGAAACTAGAGTTTATTATCCAACTTCAAATGATACTAGAGAGCTAAGCAGTCAAAACGACATGATACTGACATAAAAACAGATGCCAAGATTATAATTGTGGAAAGAACAGTCTCTTCAATAAATGATGCTGAGAAAATTGGATTTTCTTTTCTTTTCTTTTTTTCTTTTTTTTTTTTTTTGAGACAGAGTCTCACTGTGTCACCCAGGCTGGAGGGCAGTGGTGCAATCTCGGCTCACTGCAACCTCCGCCTCCCAGGTTCATGCAATTCTCCTGCCTCAGTCTCCCAAGTAGCTGGAACTACAGGTGCGTGCCACCACACTCGGCTAATTTTTTGTATTTTTAGTAGACACGGGGTTTCACCATGTTAGCCAGGATGGTCTCGATCTCCTGACCTCGTGACCTGTCCACCTCGGCCTCCCAAAGTGCTGGGATTACAGACATGAGCCTGTAATCCAATTTGGCCTGGCCAAAAATTGGATTTTTTTAATATGACAAGAAATAGGGGCTTGATTTCATTCTTCTGCATATGGACATTCAATTTTCTCAGAACCATTTATTGAAGAGACTGTCCTTTCCACAATGTGTATTCTTGGCACTTTTGTCAAAAATAAGTTCACTGCAGATGTATGGATTTATTTCTGGGTTCTGTATTCTATTTCATTGGTCTGTGGTGTCAATTGCAACAACATGGATGGAACTGGAGGTCATTATGTGAAGTGAACTAAGCCAGGCACAGAAAGACAAACTTCCCATGTTCTCACTTATTTGCACAAGCTAAAAGGAAAAATCATTGAACTCATGGAGATGAAGAGTAAAAGGATGGTTCCCAGAGGCCGGGAAGGGCAGTGGCGAGATGGGAAGGACATAGGGGTTGTTAATGGCACAAAAAATCAGAAAGAATGAATAAGACGTAGTATTTAATAGCACAACAGAGTGACTACAGTCAATAATAATTTACTTATACATCTTAAAATAACTAAAAGAATGTAATTGGATTATATTACAAAGAATAAATGTTTGAGGTGATGGGTACCCCATTTACCAGATGTAATTATTATGCATAGCATGCCTATATCAAAATATCTCATATAGCTCATAAGTATATGTACCTACTGTGTACACACAAACATTAAAAATTAAAATAATAAGTCAGGAGCCGGGCGCTGTGGCACATGCGTATAATCCAAGCACTTTGGGAGACCAAGGCAGGAAGACTTGATCACGAGGTCAAGAGATCAAGACCACCCTGGCCAACATGGTGAAACCCCCTCTCTACAAAAAATACAAAATTAGCTGGACGTGGTGGCACGTACCTGTGTTCCCAGCTACTTGGGAGGTTGAGGGAGAAGAATCACTTGAACTCGGGAGGCAGAGGTTTCAGTGAGCTGAGATCGCGCCACTGCACTCCAGCCTGGCAATGGAGTGAGACTCCATCTCAAAAAATAAAAATAAAGTCAGATCATAAGGGTGGGCTCCCAATCTGATAGGATGAGCGGCCTCATAAGAAGTTCCACATACCAAGGAAAGGTCGTGTGAGCACGAAATGAGAAGACTGCCACCTGCGGGCACCTTTATCTGGACTGTCCAGCTTTCAGGACTGAGGGAAAACAAATTTCTGTTGTTTCAGCCACCCAGCCTATGGTATTTTGTTACGGCAGTCTGAGCTGACACAGCAAATTGTTATCTATCCTTCAAGGATCTTCCTCAAATCCAGAAAGAAGATTCTTTCCCTCTTCTCTGTCACCGCCTCCCCCGCTCTCATCCATGCTGGCCCTCTATGTGACTTACCTTGGACATTTTTTATAATCAACTTTCATTATAGTTCCAATCAACTAAACTGGAAGTTCCTTCAGGGCAGGAACCTTGTCTATTTGGCTCTGTAACCTTACACCACCTAGCACACCATAGGTACTGTGATGCTTAATATTGTCAACTTGATTGGATTGAAGGACGCCTCGATAGCTGGGAAAGTATTGCTTCTGGGAGTGTCTGTGAGGGTGTTGCCAGAGGAGGTTGACATTTGAGTCAGTGGACTGGGAGAGGAAGACCCACCCTCAGTGTGGGTGGGCACCATCCTACTGGCTGCCAGCATGGCTAGAACAAAGCAGGTGGAAGAAGGTCGGACAAGCTGGCTTGCTGAGTCTTCTGGTTTTCATCTTTCTCCGGTGCTGGAGGCTTCCTTCTGTTTTTCCTGCCCTTGCACGTTGGATTCCAATTCTTTGACTTTGCGTTCTTAAACTTACATCAGTGGTTTGCCAGGGGCTCTCAGGCCTTTGGCCACAGGCTGAAGGCTGTACTGTGGGCTTCCCTGCTTTTGACACTTCTGGAATCAGACTGAGCCACTACTGGCTTCTTTCTTCCCCAGCTTGCAGATGTTCTGTTGTGGGACTTTGCCTTGTGATCATGTGAGCCAATTCTCCCTAATAAACTCCATTTCATGTACACATATATCCTATTATTTCTGTCCTTCTGGAGAACCCTGACTAATACAGGTTTTGGTACTTGGAGTGGGGCATTGCTATAAAGATACCCGAAAATGTGGAAGTGACTTTGGAAGTGGGTAACAAGTTTGGAGGCCTCAGAAGAAGACAGGAAGAGGAGGGAAAATTTGGAACTTCCTAAAGATTTGTTGAAGGGTTATGACCAAAATGCTGATAGCGATATGGACAATGAAGTTCGTGCTGATGAGGTCTCAGATAGAGATGAGGAACTTATTAGGAACTGGAGTAAAGGTCAACCTTTAACAAGGAGACTGGTGGCGTTGTGTCCCTGCCCTAGGGATCTGTTGAACATTGAACTTGATTTAGGGTTTCTGGCAGAAGAAATTTTTAAGCAGCAAAGTGGTCAAGATTTGGCCTGCCTGCTTCTAACAGCATACGCTCATCTACATGAGCAAAGAAATTACCAGAAACTGGAACTTCTATTGAAAGGGAAGCAGAGCATAAAGGTTTAGAAAATTTGCAACCTGATAACGTGGTAGAAAAGAAAAACCCATTTTCTGGGGAGAAATTGAAGGCTTGATAGCCAAGCCAATAAGGAAAATGCCTCCAAGGTATTTCAGAGACCCCCTTTGGCCCTCCCAGCACAAGCCTGGAGGTCTAGGAGGGAAAAGTGGCTTCATAAGTCAGACCCAGGGCCTTGCTGCTCTATGCAGCCTAGGGACATGGTTCCCTGCAACCCAGTCACTCCAGCACCAGCTGTGGCTAAAAGGGATCTAGATACATCTCAGGCCACTGCATCAGAGGGTACAAGCTGGAAGCCACCAAGGCTTCCACATGGTGTGAAGTCTGCAGGTGTGCAGAGGGCACACCTCTGGTTTAGGCTTGGGAGCCTGCGCCTAGATTTCAGAGAATATATGGAAATGCCTTGGTGTTCATCAGGGAGAAAGCCCTTATGGAGAATCTCTACTAGGGAAGTGCAGAGAGGAAATGTGAGGTAGAAGCCCCCATCCATATTCCCCACTGGGGCACTCTCTCGTGGAGCTGTGAGAAGAGGGCCACCATCCTCCAGACCCCAGAATGGCAGATCGACTGACAGCTTGTGCTGTGCACCCAGAAGCCACAGGCACTCAACGTCAGCCCCCACAAGCAGCCGAGGGGGCTGTACCCTGCAGAGCCATGGGGTCAGAACTGCCCAAGGCCTTGGGAGCTCCCCTCATTGTATCAGCATGTCTTGGATGTGAGACAGGAAGTCAAAGGCGCTTATTTTGGGGCTTTAATATTTAATGACTGGGTCAGGCATGGTGGCTCAGGCCTGTAACCCCAGCACTTGTAGAGGCTGAGGCAGTTGGATCATGAGGTCAGGAGTTTGAGACCAGCCTGATAGTGAAACCCCATCTCTACTGAAAAAAAAAAAAAATTAGATGGGCGTGGTGGTGGTAATCCCAGCTACTTGGGAGACTGAGGGAGGAGAATTGCTTGAGCCCAGGAGGCAGAGGTTGCGGTGAGCTGAGGTTGCACCCCTGCACTCCAGCCCCAGTGACAGTGTGAGACTCCAAAGATTTAATGACTGCTCTGGTGAGTTTCAGACTTGTGTGGGGCCTGCAGCCTCTTTGTTTTGGCCAATTTCTCCCTTTTAGAAAAAGAGTATTTACTCAATGCCTATACCCCTATTGTCTCTTGGAAGTAACCGACTCGTTTTTTATTTTACAGAGTCATAGGTTGAAGCAACTTGCCTTGTCTCAAATGAAACTTTGAACTTGGACTTTTGAGTTAATGTTGGAGTGAGTTAAGGCTTTGGGGGACTGTTGAGAAGGGATGATGGTGTTTTGAAAAGTGAGAGGATGTGAGATTTGGGAGGGGCCAGGGTGGAATGATTTGGTTTGGCTCTGTGTCTTCACCCAAATCTCATGTTGAATTGTACTTCCCAGTGTGGGAGAAGGGGCCTCAAGGGTGGTGACTGGATCCACTGGCTGATCTCATGATAGAGTCCTTATGAGATCTGGTTGTTGTAAAGTGTGTGGCACCTGCCCCTTTGCTCTCTCTTCCTCTTTTTTAAACTAATTTATTTATTTTTTATTTTTTGCTGGGGATGTCACTTTATTTGAATTTGGTTCATGGAGTGGGGGTCTCAGAGCAAACTGGAGGGCCTTGCACAGGCAACTGGGCCCAGCCAGCTGGGCTCCTGACCCAGGACCTTGTTCTGGCCTGTCCTCCCAAAGCACGGCAGGCACCTTCTTCCCCTTCTCCAGAGGAGTCCCCTCCACCCCACAGGAGCTGTGGCCAGGCCCAACAGTCCTGGGGAAGGAGGAAGAGTCCTACCAGTAGACACTAAGGCACAGTACGGCCCGGGGTCATAAGGGCTCTTCTGGAGGTGGCATCTGCTGGGGCTTATGGCTGGCCGGGGGCTCCACACAACCGCTGACCATCCAAAAGTAGTTTGGGTGCACCTGGCCCTGCACAGCCTCACTGACCATCAATTCCCGGTCCACTGCAAACACACCCCTCCCATCCTTGGGCTCCAGGCGGAAGGCAACCACAGGCACATATACATATTGCCTGCCCTTCTCCATGGCCAGGGCAGCAGCATGGCCCGAGATGCGCCTCTCGGCAGGTAGAACAGATGCATGGCAGCCCATGGGTGCCACGAACATCTCTCTGCCCAGGTGTGAGTGCAGCAGTGCCAGCACCAGCACAAAGTCCTGGTCGGGCACCACCGTCCAGTGAGAGGGCACTGGCTCCTTCAGTGGCACAAGGTGTGCATCTACCCGGCCCTACTGGACTACCACCGGAGAGACGGGTGTCTTGGGGCGGGCTCTTCCTACAGGGAGGTAGGCCAGTCGGCCGCGGTAGGTGCGCAGGGCTGCCGGGCGCAGGAAGGTGCCCAGAGTGAAGCGCATCTCCCCCAGGCGCCGATCCTTCGCACTCTCCAGGTCCACGTCAGCAGTGAAGCCCTAGGCCAGACTGAGCACAGAGAAGAGGCGCAGCCCCGAAGCCATGTGCAGTGACAGCAGGTTCAGGGGCGACAGTAGCCGGTGGCACAGCAACAGCGCGCAGTTGGTCAGGAGGTCTCCATCAGTAACCTAATCACAGCCAGCATAATGGTTCGAGGACGCTGGCAGCGCGTTGCCAGAGCCTGCGGGGAGGCTGCACAGGTGCCTGGATGGCGGCCTCCCAGTCAGGCCGCTCCGTGAGCCGAGTCACCACCCGCGCATCAGCCGGTCCCCAGACCTGACTACCCGAGCGGCCCAGCTCCGCCGACCGCACCAGCTCCCACGCGTGGTTCCGCCACTCAGTGAGCACCGGCGTGACGAAGACTTCAGCCTCAGCCAGGACGGGCTGCACGTGACTCCGGAAGCGCTGCAGGGCCTTGCCCTGGCCCCAGCGCGGGTTTAGCAGCACCAGCACGTGGCAGAGCCGCCCGCGGGATCCGTGACCGCGACCCACGGCTTCCGCGCCAGGTGTCCCGGAGCTGTCGGGCACTGCCCGTGGCGGCGGCTCCTGCCTTCCGCTCCTCATCGCTACTGCCCAGGCAGCCGTCGCGGCAGGCTGTGGGGCTCGCCCTCCCCACACGGAGCCCGGAGCCAGGGCTGTGGGAGCACCGACGTCGCCCCCTGTTCCCTTCGGCGGCTCGATCCAGTCGGTCCGGTTTGCCGGGAGGCGCCACCACCGTTCTGCAGCGGCCTGGGGAGGAACGCAGCTCGTCCCAAGCTCAGCCCACGTCTGACGGACTAGAGCGCCCGCTGGAGCGGACTCCCCCGCCTCGCTCCCTCCCGCCTCAAACTTTTCGCTCAACCTCTCTCTTCCTCTTGCTCTAGCCATGTAGGACATGCCGGCTTCTCCTTCCCCTTCTGCTGTGACTGTAAGTTTCCTGAGACCTCCCCAGCCATGCTTCCTGTACAGCCTGCAGAACGGTGAGCCAATTAAACCTCTTTTCTTTAAAAATTACCCAGTTTCAGGTGTTTCTTTATAGCAGTGTGAGAACAGACTAATATGGTACTTCATAACTTGACAGGAATGAATAAATGAAGTGAAACAGATAATAAACACTATGGGAGATCGGAGGAGAGGACTTACCCCTGGAAGTCATCAGGGATGGCCTTCATGAGAGGTCCTTGAAGGGCAGGGAGGACCTGAACAGGCAGAGGAGGCAGAAAGATCTCAGAAGTGAGATCATAAAGGCATATTGGAGGCAATGAAGATGCAGCCTGGTCGGAGCAGAGGCTCTCCCAGAGACAGGAAATGGTCATATTTGCAAACTGGAGAGAAAGATTTGGTACTGCCGGTCCTAAGGGAAAGGTGATGGACTTGACCTCTCAAAATGATCCAAAACCGAATGGTAAATGCCTAGTTTTCCCGATGAAAGGTCCAGGCTGGCCTCTTGAAGGTTAAAGCCTTAGATTGAAAAGCAATGGTGCTGAGCCACTGTAACTAGTAGAACAGTCTCTAAGAGAGGTGTGTACTCACTTGTGCCTGCTAGAGAAGGAAGGGTTCTTAAAAGTGATCTAGTCAGGCCAGGCGCAGTGGCTCACGCCTATAATCCCAGCACTTTGGGAGGCGAAGGCGGGCGGATCACGAGGTCAAGAGATTGAGACCATCCTGGTCAATATGGTGAAACCCCGCCTCTACTAAAAATACAAAAAAATTAGCTGGGCATGGTGACGCATGCCTGTAATCCCAGCTACTCAGGAGGCTGAGGCAGGAGAATTACTTGAACCCAGGAGGCAAAGGTTGCGGTGAGCCATTGCACTCCAGCTTGGGTAACAAGAGCGAAACGCCAACTAAAAAAATTTAAAAAGTGATCAAGTCAAACTTTCTTATTTGGCAGAAGGAGAAACAGAGGCCAAGAGAAGGGAATGCTGCCAGACAGAGGCAGAGGCAGGAATTGAATTTGAGGTCCTGCGAGGCGTGCTGCCCATGCTGCCCTGCTGACTCCCCCTCCTGGGACAGCAAGGAAGGCAGTTTGCATTTCTCAGTTCAGCTGTTCCCAAGGAGACGTCCAACCCAGACCCCCATAGTCCCTCTGGCAAGCACTGAAGGTATTTTGTGTGTTTCAGCCCTATGGACGATACTCTGTCAATCTAGAATTTGTCTGACCTTCAGTCACAGTGAGACCAGAAAAGGTCTTGAGTGCCTGCCAAGTGCTAGAGCTTTATCAGGCAGAGGAAGTTCTCTGGGAAGAAGGGGAAAAGCTGGTGCACCCTGCTGGTGAGGAAGCTGGCCTATGGTGGGTGGTCTGGGGGCTTTCTCCTTGCACATCCAGCTGGGCCTGAAACTGGTACGTCCCATCTGACTTTCTCCAAGGAGAGTCAGCACTTTTCCCAGCACTGAGCTGGTTTCTGCCTGACACAGGGACAAAACTGTTTCTTTTACCTGGGAGCTTCAGCTCGCAGTCGGCATCAGAAGCAGCAATTTAAGAAGAAAAGGCTGGTGAAGGGAATGTATCACTGAACTATCCAAAAGACTCTTTGTGGCCTTCAAGCTACTATGTGCAAACGCTCAACTCTCTGAACCTCAGTTTCCTCATCTGTAAATTGAGGAGCATATCGCCACCCTCCCTGGGCTTATGGGTGGTTCAGATCAAGCTCAGGTCTACACAGATATTTGACACTGATTTGTAGTCTTCTTCAAATGTCCCCTGCAAGCTCTCAGTTCCTTATCTGCTGGGGCTAGAGGTAAAAGGACCAACCAGGAGGCAGCTGAGGTTTTCTTCAGAAGTGCCCCTGGATGGCAGAATCAGAACCTAAGCAAAAAAGGATCCTCAGTGACCAAGGAGAGTGACAGAAAGGAGGGGAAATGAAGGAAGGGAGATGGGCTTGGGGTGTGGTGCAAAAGCTGTTCATTCATGTCTCAAATATTTGAACCTACCAATGTGCCAAGCACCGTGCTGGGCCCTGGGAACTCAGATGAGCAAGACTCGTTCATTCATTCATTCATCAAACATACAGTTATTAAGGGACTTGTATGAAGCTTCCAGGTTCTGGCATAGAGAAGAGGTCAGGCAAGCAAATGAGAAACTGAAATGCAGGCTGGTAAGTATTCTAAGAGAGGATACAGACAGGGAGGCAAAGGGCATTGGAGATGGAGAGAGCCCTAATATTCTGAGGCTGCAAGGAATTCCCCAAGGCTGGAAGGGACGGTATGTCTTGTGATGTCTTGTGGTGAGAGGGGAAGCTGGAAAGGCCAAGAAAGGCCCTGAATGCCACCAAGAGTTTGGACCACCTGTACACAGAAAGCCACTGAGCACTTTCCCAAAGGGATGCCAGATTCAGATTCTAATTTGGCTACCATGTGGCCAAGTGGAATGAAACAGGGGAATGAAGCAAAGAGGAGGGGAAGAAGGAAGAGAGGAGACTCTGGAGGTGGTTTGGACTGGGTGACTGGCCTTTAGTGGGCAGAGAGAGGGGACAGGTAGCTGTGCAGCCCGTATTCACTGAATGGATGCAGGGCAGGGTGTGGGGGAACTTATAACCACACAGGGACCTAAGCCCACCCCAGGTGCACTGAATCAGCATCTCTGGAATGGGGCCCAGCAGTGCATATACTGCAGGTCAGTGTTCCTGGTCTTGGGGGTTGCGTAGAGGATCCCTAAGACCAGCCACAGGCTCAATGATTTGCTATAAGGACTCAAAGGACTTAGAAAAGCCATTATACCCTTGGTTATGGTTCATTACAGTGAAAAAATACAGATTAAAATTAGCAGAGAGAAAAGGGACAAAGTCCAGAAGAAACAAGTCACCAGCTTCCAGTTATCCTTTCCCAGTGGAGTTGCAGAGACAGTGATTCATTCTCCCAGCAGTGATGTGTGACGGCACATGCTAAGTGCTGTCTGCCAGGGAAGCCACCCAAGCAAGCCTTAGTGTTCAGGGTTTTCCTTGGGGGTCAGTGATGCAGGCATGCAGCTCCTGGGTGATTGACCCAGCTACTCAGGCTTCAGTCCCTAGAGAAGTCATATTAATAGAGCAAAGCCCAAAGCCTCAGGCATACAAAAACATTCTTAGAAGGCATAATATTTGGCCAAGCGTGGTGGCTCATGCCTGTAATCCCAGCACTTTGGGAGGCTGAGGCAGGTGGATCAACTGAGGTCAGGAGTTCAAGACTAGCCTGGCCAATATGGTGAAACCCCATCTCTACTAAAAATAGAGGAAAAAAAAATAGGCATGGTGGCAGGTGCCTGTAATCCCAGCTACTAGGAAGGCTGAGACAGAATTGCTTGAACCCGGCCGGGCGCAGTGGCTCAAGCCTGTAATCCCAGCACTTTGGGAGGCCAAGGCGGGTGGATCACGAGGTCAAGAGATCAAGACCATCCTGGTCAACATGGTGAAACCCCGTCTCTACTAAAAATACAAAACATCATTAGCTGGGCATGGTGGCACGTGCCTGTAATCCCAGCTACTCAGGAGGTTGAGGCAGGAGAATTGCCTGAGCCCAGGAGGCGGAGGTTGCGGTGAGCCGAGATCGCGCCATTGCACTCCAGCCTGGGTAACAAGAGCGAAACTCCGTCTCAAAAAAAAAAAAAAAAGAACTGCTTGAACCCAGGAGATGGAGGTTGCAATGAGCTGAGGAAAAAAAGAAGGGAGAACATTCTAAGGACTCAGAGGTTATCTCCCCAGAGGTGGTCAGGGGTCAATCCTTTTTGTGGAATGTGCAGGGTTGGAGTGACCCAAGGCTGCTGGGCAAACAAACCCTTTACTGTCCAGTGGTCTATATTAGAATGCCCCGGGGAGCTTGCAGAATGCTTTATAGCCAGGCTGCACCCAGACCAATCACTCAGAGTCTCTGCAAGGTGAAGACCCACTGCTATAGATAGTAATTGGTACCAAAGGAGGGAGTGAGCTCATCCCAGAGGGAATGAGGAGAGAGTGGTCACAGGTGGAAAATATGGCGAAGAACAGTAGACTCAGGAGCAGCAGAGGGTGCAGACGGCAGGAAGGATGGCACACAGGGAAGGAGCGGCCAGGGAAAAGGTAGAGAACCAGGGTCCCCAGGGTCTGGACAGCAAAGAGAGAGAGAGAGAGCCTGCAGTCAAGTCACATAGTGGCCTGGTGCCTCAGCTCAGGCTGCTGTAACAAATTGCTAGGTGGCTTAGACTGTAATTTATTTTTCATAGTTCTAGAGGCTGGGAAGTTGGAGATCAGGCGCCCGCCTGGTTTGGGTTGGGTGAGGATCTTTTCTTAGTTTCTCCTATGAACACTTCCTTGCTATATCCTCACATGGCACAGAGGGAAAGACAGAGACAGAGACAGAGAGAGCGAGATAGAGAGAGAGAGAGAGAGAGAGAGAGCCTACTTGCTCGTGCTTCCTCCTGTAAGGGCACTAACCCCATCATGCAGGATAAAACATTCAGTGCATTGCACCTGGGAAGTCTCAGTTAGGTCTGGGGGAGGGACACGGTGCCAGGAGGAGCAAAAATTTCTATCTGTCTGGTACTCTCTTCCCCCTCCCCCTCCCCTTCCTCCTCTTGCTTTTCCTCCTCCTTCTGACCCCCTCCCTCCTTCTCTGCTGCTCTCCACCGCCCCCCAGACTTTCTTCATAGAACCAGAAGGGGACGCCTGAATTGGCCTGGACTGCCCAGCCTGTACAGTTCTGGAAGTGGGGTAGGGGTGGATGGAGTGAACTCAGCAGGCCTTGACTTTTCCAGGTCTAAGCACTGAAGATGCTTTGGTGCTTCTCCACAGGGGAGAAAATTCAAAATAAAAACAAAACCATAAACCATACAACACAACTGTTACATGGATGCTAAAAATAAATTTTTTTCTTTAAGTTTCCAATGGCAAAAGTCTGAATATTTGAAAGCTGAATCTCCCTTGCCCTCTTTTGGA